TAATAGAGCTTGCCCTATAACACAATTACAGAAATCAGTATCCATGACCTTTCTGGGGACTTCATTTAGCACAATCTGCGTGTAAGTGCGTCACTCTCTAAGACAACTGTCCCCAAGCATTGCTCCCATAATAAAAGAATCTTAATTCTATAGCTCTTACATTCAGGCCCTGTTTTTTCATAAACATTGCTCTGCAGTAATACTTCTTACATTTAAAAATAAAACCCAAGATGAAGAATTTTCTTCAACTGTTGCTTCTACTTAGGCCTTCACATTTGCTCTCTGCTTACACTCACATGGTTATTATATGATCCTGATTCTCAGTGGAGAAAAGATGGCAAACAACTGTAGAGTACATCTTGAGTCAGGCATAGATTAACATACATACATACATACATAGGGTGTATCTTTACATTGCTGCTTGTCAGAGTCATATACAGTTCTTGTACCCTACATTGTGTCTCCCTAAATGTATTTAGCCAGCACTTGTTCTGTTGTTGTGCTTCTCTTTGTCATTGTTGTAGTAGTGTGTTGATGCTGGTTGGTGTGGTATTTGCACTGCTTTACTTTGATTGAATGGTTTGGTAAAAAGACAGTGATAAGTGCTTTATTTATTCAAAGTGGACTATTTTCACCTCACAGTGACCAGAAAAAAAGCCAATCACTCAGCGTGAAATAGATACTTAATGCTCCACCAGTTGGAGATTTGAAATACACTGCAGAAAAATTTCAAAGCTTAGAAAAAAATGCTTTTGTCAACACATCCTTATGGTGACAATGAAACATTTAGCTGAAGACTATTTAACATTGCTGTTAAGTGTGGTCCTTTAGAAGTCCTGCATGATAAATCATAGGCTAGAGAGCGCTTTTGCATAGAAGCAAATACAATGATAAGAAGAGATCCAGCGAATCAAACAGGTTTAACCAAAAACAAAATCAGCTCAAAGAAGGATTTATTTTAGATCCTCCACTGAAGTTGAAATGCAGAATTTTCTCATACTTTTCAGATGTAGCAGCAACATAGACAATATAGAGCTGAAGTTCACTGAGAATTGGCGCAAACAGCTGTCAAACTGCAAATCTTCTATTTCAGCATCAATTAAATCGTCAACCATTTTTGCATTTTCTAGTCAACGAACTATGGACCTGTAAAGTAAACATTTCTCTATCGGAAAGATGGAGCTGGATATTTGTAGCTGATTGTGGAACAGGCTTTACTGACAAAAAAGCCTTTTTAATAATCCTGTAGCCTTAACCCTTAGGGTGATTCGCACCAACTAATCTGCTGTATACAATGACTAAATTGGCAATACAAACATGCTTAGAAAAGTGAATGTTAAATGTAATTTTAATATGATAAATGACCGTATTGACAGTGTTTATTTATCAATTATTTAATTATAATTAGTATTATTATAAAAGATATAGCATTTAATGCAAGCACAGATTTTGCTTGAATGGTAAAAGATAGAACTGCCAAACAAAAATGTACAGTAGGTTCCATAAAATGTGTTATGTTTTTTACAAGTTTTTTATGCTTATTAAAGCTTCATTCATTTAAATATATATATATATATATATATATATATATTTATATTTTTTACATTTTTGAATGTTTTTAGTGCCACACAACACTTCAGAAATCATTCTAATTTGGTGCTCAGTTATTAATAATCATGTTTCTTTTTTATCAGTGCTGAAAACTATTTACTTGTATGGAAAATGTGGTTATTTCCATTATTTTCAGGTACTGTATATAAAGACGTTTGGCCCACTTGTGAAATTTTTTATACATTTGTTGTTTCACTAGTGTTTGCCATTTCTCCCTAAATGTATTTAGCCAGCACTTGTTCTGTTGTTGTGCTTCTCTTTGTCATTGTTGTAGTAGTGTGTTGATGCTGGTTGGTGTGGTATTTGCACTGCTTTGCTGTGATTGAATGGTTTGGTAAAAAGACAGTGATAAGTGCTTCATTTATTCAAAGTGGACTATTTTCACCTCACAGTGACCAGAAAAAAAGCCAATCACTCAGCGTGAAATAGATACTTAATGCTCCACCAGTGGGAGATTTGAAATGCACTGCAGAAAAATTTCAAAGCTTAGAAAAAAATGCTTTTGTCAACACATCCTTATGGTGACAATGAAACATTTAGCTAAAGACTATTTAACATTGCTGTTAAGTGTGGCCCTTTAGAAGTCCTGCATAATAAATCATAGGCTAGAGAGCGCTTTTGCATAGAAGCAAATACAATGATAAGAAGAGATCCAGCGAATCAAACAGGTTTAACCAAAAACAAAATCAGCTCAAAGGAGGATTTATTTTAGATCCTCCACTTAAATTGAAATGCAACATTTTCTCATACTTTTCAGATGTAGCAGCAACATAGACAATATAGAGCTGAAGTTCACTGAGAATTGGCACAAACAGCTGTCAAACTGCAAATCTTCTATTTCAGCATCAATTAAATCAATTGATGAAAAAAATAATTTTTGCATATCTAGTCAATGAACTATGGACCTGTAAAGTAAACATTTCTCAATCAGAAAGATGGAGCTGGATATTTGTAGCTGATTGTGGAACAGGCTTTACTGACAAAAAAGCCTTTTCAATAATCCTGTAGCCTTAACCCTTAGGGTGATTCGCACCCTCTAATCTGCTGTATACAATGACTAAATTGCTCATTGGTGAATGTTTTTTTGCTATTTCTTTGGAGACTAAAAATCTGCGGATTTATGTGGAATGATTTTGGGAGTATTGTAACTAAGAACGTAATTTACAAAATAAAAAATAACACCTTTTTGACTTTTATTTAATTTTTACAATGCAAATTATCAATTATCAATTTTACAAATTTTACAAATTATCAATTAGGATCACTTTTTTGGTAAACAAAGCAAGTCTCTCATATAATATATCTACTGGAAGACAGAAAATATTACTTTACAAACTGTATTATAAATAAATCATATAAACATTTTTATTTTAGTCAATATTATCACAAAAAAAAAAAAAAAACTGAATTAATACAAATTTAAACATTTACACAAGTAAATAGATAGACTCAGTGATGGGCTAAAAATCTGCGGATTTCTGTGAACCGCTGCTCTAAAACAGTGAAGTTTAGAGGCTTTTGCCAACAAACTGTTATTTCTGAATGTGCTGACGCTGGGATTAGGATCAGTAGAAGCAAATCTATTTGTTGAATATGTACTACGTGCCAAAAGCATTCACTCAATGTCATCATATAATTTTTGGCAGAAGGGGCGTTTATTTTCAATATTATTATTTTGAATATTATTTTCATTTTAAATAACCTTTTTCTTCTGTAAAATATTTTAAACTTAATTTGATAGAGTTATGGCAAAGCTGGATTTTTAGCATAATTAGTCCAGTCTCCAATATCAAATGAACCTGAAGAACCTGTATATATTCTTTCTGAAGTGTTTGTTTTGAAAGGCAGCACCTATAGTCATAGAGGTTATGTATTAAACAATGTCATTTCTCTCATTAATCTTCAATTAATGAGAAACAATGTGCCTAACCCCTTGATGGTCTAAAACAGGGGTGCCCAAACTTGGTCCTGGAGGGCCGGTGCCCTGCAACCCCAACTAACCACACCTAAACCAGCTAATAAAGCTTTTTTTAGGTATACTAAAACTACCATGCAGGTGTGTAGAAGGAAGTTGGAGCTGCAGGACAATGGCCCTCAGGAACCAAGTTTGGGCACCCCTGGTCTAAAGTGACTGCTGATAAGATCTTAATCAAGTCTTGAACTTTTGTTTTCTTTTTGACACAATCTTTTGACTACTATCTCTGTATAAATATCTGGCTTGATTGAGACACAAAATATGTTTTTGTTGTTTTTTTTTATCACTGCAGGGCTTATTTCTTGAAAACCTCACCACTGTTGGGATATTACAAATTTTATTCTGAGCCTCCTCCTGACCTTCCACTCAAATACAGTCTCCGTACAAGACAGTCACAGTGAAACTGACAGAAGCCTTGTTCTATCATCGTCCCTCTGTGGTTTATCATAGTCTGCAAAATTCATTAAATAATACTTTGTGAGATGTCAACTTTCAGTTTCCTTCCCACCCTTTCATACAGACAAATGTATTTATTTTTTGTAAGTTTTTAATTTGCTTAGAAGGTTATTTTCTAATTAAATCAGAAGTGTGACGGATTGGTTTGTCGCAGTGTTTAAAACAGTTTGTTGTTTACAGTTTTTGAAAACAAAATGATCTTCAGAAGTGAGGCAATGAAGCGTGTCCAATTTATTCACCAAACTAAATACGTTGCGTGTCCTTCTTTTTGGCACTCAAAGATGAAAGGGACAAAGATGCATCTGTTACAGAGGACAAACTATTCAAAGACTTCTTGAAGTTTCAACATATAAGTCATATTTCTGTGTTCTATCAAATGAACAATTTGTATTTATCCTTTCCAAACTAAAACTGAAAGGGAAGAAGGGAATTGGATTTCACCTTCTTTCTTGTCATTGACTTTCCATTTAGAAAAGAAAAAAGAAAGAAAACCCCGTTCTAATAAAAAATAAACAACACCCTATGATAAAATCTTCACGATAACATCTTCAGATAATACCCACTGATAACACCTACAGATAACATCAATTTTTACCACCTGTTGATAAAACCTGGTAATAACATTCAATAGATCTGTTCCATCCAGCTGAGCGCTGTTAAGTATTAAACCCAGCTGTAAACCCATCTCACATTCATGAATTTACTCACCTTTGTTTTTAGATGAGTACTAAATGAAACTGATAAGTACTTGCAAAAAAACATAACAAATGAAATCTCTGAACGGAAAGTCACACTCTCACCTTGTTTGTTTAGAACAGAAAAGTTACACTACAGTTTTCAACACAGCAAACAGTAATCAGCCTTAAATGATTATTTATTCATGTTTATCCTGTAAGCAATTCACAAATATGTTCAAAGCAACAGGGACAGAGAAAAGGAGAACAAACGCGATACTCACTGCACTCTTTTGATTCCTGGACCCTTGTTTTCATGAATGCATCAAATAGATGGGGCCAACCACTGTTATCCACTGCAACACACACACACACACACACACACACACACACACACACACACACACACACACACACACACACACACACACACACACACACACACACACACACACACACACACACACACACAGACACAGACACAGACACACACACACACACACACACACACAGACACACACACAGACACACACACACACACACACACACAGTTTTATGGATATATAATGGGTGGATGTCTGCAAAGCTGTATTAGCGGGTAACATCTTAGAAACACTTAATGGAACATATATTCACTACTATCCTAATAGATACTACACTACACTAGACCGACATAGACCTGTTGGCTAAAACAAGGCTGAATTTTGACTGTCAGTGAAAATGTTATAGATTTTAAATATGAAAAGTTCAAAACTAGACTCGTCATCAAGTAAACATCCTTAACAGACTTCACATGTAGACATTCATTCCAGTTTATTTGATAACTAGTCTATCTTTGGACTGTTGTTAGATGTATATTAGATTTTTACTGACACCCAAAATATCTACAGTTGGTGAGAGTTCAAAGTGGCAATTACCGCCGGAGCATATACTGCCGCCGTTTAATATTGCTGCCTCTCTGTTTTTAGTGTATGACCGCAGTTTGTGAATAAGCCGCCAGGGGGCACAAAGGGACGGGATGCGAACGGACAGAAATAGCCTATACTATGAGGTGCCGTATAGGATTTAAATCAAACTTTGCTTATCAACACATACATAAAACATGTGTATATACACCTATAAATTACTTGCATATACACCTATACTACTGGATGTTCAAAACAACATGGATAAAACTTGTGTATATACATATAAACTTGACGCATGAATACACCCACATACACACGCACATACATATAAACTCGATCCTCACATAAACACCCACATTAACACACGCACATACATATAAACTTGCTGCATGCAAACACACCTATACACACTTGCATATACATATAAACTCGATTCTCACATAAATACCCACATTTACATGCACATACATATAAACTCACAGCATGCAAACACACCTATACATACTCACATATACATATAAACTCGGTCTATGCATATACACCCTCTACAAGACACGCACATACACAAACTCACTGCATGCAAACACACCTATAACATCTTGCGCAAACATACAAAAAAAATAAATAAATAAATTTCACAAACATTTATCAAGAATCTGGTTATTGCAAAGCTTATGAAATAGAAATAATGTGATTAATAGAGGGATTAAATATGTTAAATTATGAACATATGTTATATAAAATATTAGTCTATATAAATAGACTATTCAAAATAAGAAATATTTTTATTTAAAACCTTTTCATTTAATTAGGTAATTACATACACAAATATAAATGGACAGATAGAACCCTTAAAGGACGTTCAAAAAGCAACCAGAATTATAAATATAAATGTATACTCAAACTAAACTCCTCTTTTCTATTGCAAATGTTAATGTAGCCTATAGTCTTCTTGTTTTGTTTTTTTTACATTTTTATAATTATTATGCTTTTTATATGTTTTTACAATGTGGGTGTCAAAATTGCAAGATTTTGGTATAATTTTGATTGTTAATTATTCAGCATATACAAAAAAAAAAAAAAAAAAAAAACGCTGATTAAAAGTCTCTGCTCATCATGTTGGTCAAGTTAACCCCCATGGAAAAGCTATATATATTATCTGGACTCTCCTTTTGTGTTTAATAACTACTACTTATATTTTAACAGCAGCTGGCATCCAGCATTTTGGTGCATTAGCCTGTTTATTGGTGACAGGAAAACCCACTTAAGTGCATTCCTGCCCCCTACTGGACATAATTGTGTATCATAACCCTTGACAAATAGTGACACCAATAATAAAACAAACATAAAAAACTAATATTAGACAAACATATTTTATTCAAAATGATTACTTAAGCAACCTTATATTTATTAAACCATAATAACATTTCCAATAATTTAATTGCATAATAAACCTTTAATTTTGCAGGAGCATTCCTTTGCATTACCTTTTTATTTATTTATTTTTTAGAATTAGCATAATCTATTTTCATATTTCAACAGATGTAATTCCTCTATTAATCACATTATTTCTGTTTCTTAAGGTTTGCAATAACCTGATTCATGACAAAAAATAATCTTGTTCATTTCACTCAAAGGACTTTTACATTGGAATTAAACGACTTCCTTTTAAAGTGAAATAACTTCCTTTTACTGTGAAAATTCATGCATACACACATATGAAATCACTTGCATATATGTATATACACAACTAACTGTATATATGTTTGTGAATTTTATTTTGTATGTTTGCACAAGTGTCATTTGGGTGTTTATGCACACATCAAGTTTATATTCTTATGTGAGAGTTTATGGGTGTATCTGCATAGATCAAGTTTATATGTATATGCAAGTGTGTATAGGTGTGTTTGCATGCAGCAAGTTTATATGTATGTGCGTGTGTTAATGTGAGTGTTTATGTGAGGATCGAGTTTATATGTATGTGCGTGTGTATGTGGGTGTATTCATGCGTCAAGTTTATATGTATATACACAAGTTTCATCCGTGTTGTTTTGAACATCCAGTAGTATAGGTGTATATGCAAGTAATTTATAGGTGTATATACACATGTTTTATGTATGTGTTGATAAGCAAAGTTCGATTTAAATCCTATACGGCACCTCATAAGATTAAACAATAAGTCAAAGCATTATAATTCCTTCATTAATAATTTAAAATTTGTCAACACACTTTATTGTAAACTTGTTAAGCGCAAAGAGGACTCGTTTTGGAAAATAGAATTGAAGAAATAAAAGACAACTAAAATGAAAGCACAAACATTCAGTACAAATAAGTATTCTTAAATAAAGAAATAAAGCAGTCTTTTAGCCTAAATATAGAGAGATGTTCAGTGTTTGCGGTATGTGTCATGTTTATTATACACCTAGTAAAAAAAGCTTGCTGCATAGTTGTTTATTAGCAGGCACATGTCTATTATAGTGGTCATCAGCACATTAATATCTTAATGTGCTTTATTTGCTTTCACACCAAATTTTAAATGATTGATTACCTTTAGCTGGAGTTGCAATATTGCTACCATTAAGCTACACATCACAGTTTATGATATGGTTATTACTCAAAACCCTTTTAACAACATCATTGAGTGCTTGAAATGAATTACAATTGCACTCTAAAATGAACTTTGACTATATAATGGGCAGGCATGCATTATTTGTAGTGTTTTAACATTTAATATCCTTTAATACAGGACATGATTGACGTATTTTTTTCTGTTTGGCTTCATTTATCACCTGTAGTCAAAGTTCAGTATAATATGTTGTATAATTAAATATAAAGTAAACAATAAATCCGTTGTCAGTGATACTGTACAGAACTGATTAAAAAACAACATCCATTTTGTATTGCCTTTACAAAACAGAACAACATATTACTTTATAAAACAGCAGTGGCTTTGAACATGTGATAAAAAGTCTAATTTGACTTTAAATTTGTATTGCTGGGTATTGAATTAATCAATACACTAAAAAAATCACTCTTACATTGTCATGCCACCATTTATCTCCGACAGTTTTAATAGCTTCTCTGCAATTCTGAACTTCGTCCTGTAGTACATTTGCATTGTTTAATAACATTTATTCTGCATTGCCATACTCTAGGTAACCATAACTTGTTAAACACAACTAGGTAAACACAACTTCTACGACAACTACCATAGCTACTTTCATTAGCAGTAATTAGGTGTTTCCTGAGGAAAACTTTGTACACGTAGTTAACGAATAGGGGTCTTCTGGTTTTGATTTGAGAGAATAGCATGCACTTTATGACGGCTTTGTTTAAAAAATATTGATAGAAATTCATCAGAACATCTCTTTAGTAAGTGTACACTCAAATAATATTCCAGTCCCACATTTCAGAAACTCCCAGCAGGCACGCAACGTCATATGACATAGGTATTTGGTTATATTTTGGTTGCGAAGTCAGCGGAGCAAAATCCAATGTCAGTTTAACGTGAAATGACATCAAGAAATTCATACAATGTCAGAATAACATCAGTAGACGTTGATCTTTAGTTGATTTTAGGTTGTGGTCGTCCAAAATTATCTTAACGTCATAATGTGATGTCCACACAACATCAAAGTCTATCATTAGTAGTCATTGATCTTTGGTTGGTTGAAATTTGTGGCATTAACAGCCCAAAATCCATTATCATATTAATGTCATAATGTGATGTCCATACCACCTCAAAGTGTAACTTCAGTAGACATTGATCTTTGGTATGTGTCTTTTGTTACTGATCTTTGGTATGCTACCAAAATCTAACGTCCTGATGACACTGGGGTACATTGTACATCTGACGTCATAATGATGTCCTGTGCCTTCAGGGCTGCTAGTTGACTTCAGGATTTAACCCTATACCGCATGGTGTTGCCATATGCCAACATGATTTTTATGTTCATTTCCCTGCCACTGTTTCTTTAAGACCGATGTTCTAATTTTTCTGTTGGAAAGAGAAGACCTTAGTTTAGCCAAATGATCTGCTTTGATTAAGTCACATGATGTGCAGGGTTTTTCTGACAGACTTCCGTTTATTGTGAGTAATTGCTGAATGCGCATGTAAACGTCAATAAAATGAGTAAAGGATTAACTCATATCATCCACAAAAAGACATCATTTTCAGTAATTTATGATGACATAGTGACAACCCAAAAAAAGTTTTTATTAAATTAGTTTTTTTGTAAATGGATCAAATTTATGTGCTGACAAATGGCAACACTGAGCAATAGTTGAATGTGCATTATTGCAATGGGTTAGCTAGCTAGCAAGGACAGCTGTGATCGTTTAAGTTATAACAATAACAACATTAATGCTATAATATAATGCTGCGTCGTATGTTATCAACATTTGCATTATGGATAAAATCTCATTTTAATGGCAATACTTTTAATCAGAAATAAATACACGGAACAGTGTATTAGTGAGGAATAAATAAAATATATACTGTATGAAATAAATAAAAGCTGTTGGAATAACAGTTGTTGGAAAGTATGTTTAAGGTTTCATTTATAAATTGTGTTAAAGCTTATAATACTGCAACACCAATTAAATCAAAACAAACAACACAATTATTAATTATAAGGAAATTTATACTGTAAATTAAAAGTAGATCCACTAATAGACATTAGATCCACTATTGGACATCGATGCATTTGGCAACATGTCATAAAGTAGTTTTAAAAAAAATTCCCCATTTCTTTTTTTACAGCACTTCAAGTTCAGCCATTCTAAGAAAAGAAAACCAGTCAAAAAAGATGTATAGATCTATTATAATGTGTGCAGTAGAGGGTTAAATTCTGAAATTAAAGTCATGATGGACGATCACAAAGTATAACTAACAAGCTTAGTCCCACTGGTTTCACTTTAGATGGAACAAGATTTGGGGAAGCTAAAAAAAATAGTAAATATGTATTCCCTAATCTAAATTGTTACCAGTATACTGTATGCCTGTGCATATATGCACTATAAATTATTATCTTTGTAAGAGAGAGTATGTGTCACAGTCTTACCGCAGTTCTCCTCGTCTGCTCCATTTGGACAGTCCTGCTGCCCGTTACAGTGCTGTGGTTGAGGCAAACACACTGACAGATTCCCGCATGGAAACTGACCCAATGGACACATGTCAGAACCTGAGGAATCTACATACAAACAAACACACACATTCACTGAAACATGTCAATGCAAAAGTCTGCTAAGGCGAAGGTTTGGGCTTTCCTTTATGCCAAGCTGTCAGGGGAAAAATGCAAAGCAGTATACAAAATGTGCAAAATAGCTCAAATGAACACAGTCGCTATGAAAATGAGCAAATATGCCTTTCAGAATTAATAAAATTCAACTGAGAGCTGCATCCCAAATGGCCCCGAGTCAATCAATCAGCCTGCAAAACTGGTTCACCCATCGCATTACACTGAATGAATAAGGGCACATCCACACAACAGCAGAATAGAGTTGTCAGCCCTGTTGTCGCCCCTGAGTCAATAATGCACTTGCGTTCACATGCAGTTCAGTTATTTAGTGGAGTGATGACTGCATTCTCTGACTCAACTCAGAACTGTCAATCACAACTATACTTTCAGTGAAACCCTGCTGGGTGAATGGAATCAGACTGGACAACTAGTTATTTGTCATGTCATAAAACTATCCTTCAAATTATACCACCATATAGACTGCTTGTTTGTCAGTTTCCTTTAGCATGACCTAGGAGACTAAAATAGTTAAAACTGATTGTATTTTTTTGCCATGTGAATTGTTAAATAACTGGTGTACTTCCCTTATGTTGTTTTGCAAAAGAATTTGCACATTTAGTGATATTAAGACACATTAAAAACCCTGTCATGGACGAATATTTTCCTGTATTACTTGTTTTTCTATATTCAAATTTATTTATATTCTTTATTAAAGTGTATTTCTCATCGTATCAATTATTCTTCAGTTGCATTTGTGCATCAACAACAATTTAATTTGTTCTTATGTTACGAACAATTTGTCCGTATGTCATTATTTAGTTTGATATTTCACAAATAGTTAAAGCAAATAGTACTGAAGTCTTTTTGAAGTGTCAACAAATATCATTTTGCTGGCTAAGAGTATCGATATCATATCATATTATCACAAGAAGTTTGTTTACACTCCTTGTCCCTACCACGTAAGACATATGACTTCAAAAAAGATAATGTCTAGAGCTTTGTTTGGTTTTTAATTTTGGCTTAAATGTTTTATAATGTTTTGATAAACTTTATTGAAAACAGTGACATCACAATATCTTCATAAAGATTTGATTCTTTTTTTAAATCATTTTCTTTTTTATTGTAATATGAACAGGGCCTCATATTTGGAGCTCAATTAAAGCCTCGTGCCTTCTCTCTTCGGGGGTTGATAGCTCTGGCCCCCCGCTTCAGCACAGCAATGCCAAATTGTTTACCATGTTGATGAAATCGATTGTGCAGATGAACTGGTCAAACAATAGTAAGCACACCATCTAGTTTAAACACACTAGTAAGCACACTTGTTGAGCACTTCGCTAAGCACACTGTCAATTTCCTTAGTGAATTCTGGTAAAACTTGTCTATTATATGCATTATTAATTTTAGGCAGCTGCTAAAAAGAAAAAAAAAGAAATGCATATACACTCAACATCAGACAATGCACAGCTTATTTATCCAGAACATCTATGCAGAACAATAAATAAACAATCAATAACCTGTCATCTTCATATTTAAATAGCATTAGCCACATTAAAGACAAGTCAAAAGTGAAAGGAAAGTTGATCAAGAAATAGCATTAAATTGGCTACATTAAAGTATATATATATATATATATATATATATATATATATATATATAGTGTAATACTTATACAATACAAAGTTATATTTTCTAAAAATGTACAATGCAACAATGCCCATTAAACTTTTTCAGATCATGTGTTTTTGTTCAGTGAAATTAACATATCAGTGTTCTACAAGAAGACCACATGTCAACTCCTGGCCTTATTAATGCACTCGGTCGATAACAAGAGAAAGCACCTGGACAGCCGATACAGAGTGAGCAGTGGTCCACACATGCCAATGAAGAGACTGATCCAAGGGCACCTCAGCATTGTCAACGACATGCTGTCTGGCTCTGTTACCACTTCTGAGGTAGGGGAATAGATGACCCTTCCAAAGAGAGCTCCAGTTCATTTCCATTCACAGACTCTCTATTATCATCGGCAATGAAAGCTCTTGCGTACGTGCACATCTTGCTTATGTACTTATTGAACTCATCAACTGACACAAATGCTTGTGAGGTCTGAGGTAGATTCTAACCTGATTCGCTTTTAAAAACAAGCTTTCAATTCAATTCAAGCATTTAATTGTAACTTTACATTTAACATTAAAATGTTGGTGATTTGAACAATTTAATGTCGTGTGGTTGACTACTGTTTTGAGTGTCGACTAGTAGGATCTATACTGTTTATTTTTAGTCAACTAGTCAACAAGACTTGCGCTTCACTAATTCTGTATAATTGTTTAGTGTTCATCAACGTTCGAAAGACCCACCAGAGCAATCGCACCAGAGTTTATTTTAATCCAACCAAACCTTTGAACATCCTTAGTCACGATCACTGTGGTCACAGGTTGCAAAGAGTTCGTGAAAGTGAATAGAGCTTTGACTTCAAGTGCACACTCATACTCGAAAGCACTCAAACCTCTATTAGCTGCAATGTCTTCAGTCAGTGCATTTCAAAACTGAGACATAAATAAATATGGCTTTCTGTTCCAAACACTGACCGAGTGAACCTAAACCTACTGTCCTTTATTTAAAGTTTAAAAATGAGCCTGTTGTGCAGCGTTGTGTTTACTTTAAATCTTCTCCTTTTCTTTAGTGAATGTGGTAAAGGCCTATAGGTGATGCACATCTTTAAAGGGTAAGTAAACATATTTTAAAACTTGCCAATCGCAAAATAGACATCTCAGGAAAAGCAACTTTTGTCTATCTGGTGTAGCACAGTGGCAAGGCTGCAAAACGACAGATGACATTCATATTAAAGTGATTGTGAACCAGAAGTTGCCACAACGTTTATTTTAGCATGTTAATGTACATTTAAATCAAACTAAAAATTGAGCAGGGGTGGGTATATCCTACCTGATATATACACAACCTGATAAAAGTCTTGTCTATTCAAGTTTTAGAAACAACTAGTATTAACTTGATTTCTAGTTGATCATTTGGTATAAGAAGTAGCTTATATGAAAGGCAAAGGCCTCAAGATTACACTTATTTTACCAGAATAAAATATGATCATACCTTGATTTTTAATTATTTATTTAGAACATTAGGTCTGACTTTGCTTAGACAAAAGTCTTGTCATTTAACAGAAATAATGTACAGTATAGAATATGAAGTCATGGCGCAGTGCAAAAAGAATTACTATTGTGTCTGACTTCTATGAGCTTGGAGGACTGCATCCATACATCTCTGCAATGACTTAAATAACTTGGTAACACTTTACAATAAGGTTCATTAGTTAATGCATTTACTAACATGAACTAATCATGAACAACACATGTACAGCATTTATTCATCATAATTGAACATTTACTAATGCATTATTAACATCCAAGTCCATGCTTGTTAACATTAGTTAATGCATCATGAGTTAACATGAACTAACAATGAACTACTGTATTTTCATAAACTAACGTTAACTAGCATGAACAAATACAGTAGTAAATGTATTGTTCATTGTTTGTTCATGTTAATAAATGCATTAATTGACATTAACTAATGGACCTTATTGTAAAATGTGACCAATAACTTATTAATAAAGTCATCTGGAATAGCAAAGAAAGTGTCCCCAGACATGCGCAATAATGTTTATGTCTGGTGACTGGGCTGATCAATCCTGGAGAATCTTCATCTTCTTTGCTTTCAAGAACTTTGATGTGGAGGTTGAAGTATTAGAAGGAGCGCTATCCTGCTGAAGAATTTGCACTCGTCTGTTGTTTTGTAATGTAATGGGCAGCACAAATGTCTTGATACCTCAGGCTGTTGATGTTGTCATCCACTCTGCAGATCTCTCACGTGCCCCCAAACTGAATGTAACCGCAAATCATGATTTTTCCTTTACCAAACTTGACTGATTTCTGTTAGAATCTTAGTTCCATGCAGGTTCCAATAGGTCTTCAGCAGTATTTGTGATGATTGAGATGCAGTTCAACAGATGATTCATCTGAAAAATCTACCTTCTGCCACTTTTCCAAATGATCAACTAGTAGTCAGTTTATGATTTGTTACTCTTACAACAGGAATCAACTAAAAGACTTTTGTCTGGCAGTGTAGCAAACTAATGTTAAGAGGGTATTGTGGTTGGTGGTATTGTGGCTGAAGCCATCAAACTGAAGTCAACAGAGAAAGATCGCCACTCCAAATGTAGAAGCAACTGGTCAGAAATTTTTAAAGTTACTAAAACAAGTTTTTTCAGATGATTAACTTAATTGCTCACCTAAAGAATAACAATGTGCACTTGCAAAATAAACATTGTACATTTTGATATTGGACTTTAAGAGCTAGTCAACTAAGAAACTAAACTCTTAATGAGTAAAAAAAATATACTCCTATGAGTATGAGTTAAAATATGGCTGTTTAATATGAGTAAGAAGTAATGAGAGCTAGGTGTGCTTTGATTCTATGGGGAACAGTAAATGTAAGACCTGTTAATCCTAGCAATCAATCTAATATAAGTAAGTTCCTGCTGTAAAATAGTTGCAAGTTAGTATTTAATCATTGGACCTGGAATCCAATCTGTATTAGTAGAACTTTCCAATGGACTCAAATGGCATGATAAAACATCAATCAACACGACCAGATCCCAGATGTCCTATAATGCTACTCCATGAAGATTATCTCAAGATGTGTGCCTGGTTGTGATGTGTTTGTGCTTGTTGAAAGAAGAACACTATAGACATATGTGGTCTAAAATTATTTACTAATGATTGGTGAAACTACAAACCAAAATGCGACCAAAACCTATACTTTTCACATTTACTTGGTATTGTTCGCTCTCTGCCTGACACAATTATGGATGCTGCTTTCTGCCAGCTGAGACCTTTTCAAAACAATATGACTGTCTGTCATGTGTGATCCTTTATAGAACACATTTCCAGTAATAGTTTAGACATGTATTTTCAGCTCATATTGTTTGTCCCTTTTCTCTCTCAGCACTTTCAAATGTCCTATTATTATCTGATTTATTGTAAAGTGATATATTTTAGTTTGAGTAGTACTTTGTCATCAAGTTCCTCTAGTTAAAAAATCTAGCTAATGTTGATGTCGTCCCTCTTGAGGCATTTCTGGAGGTCAAAGTTTATGATGCTGGTAGGTCACGTGACTGATGGAAGATTCGGTTAGTTTGTGGTAACCCTGCCACCACTCGCGTGACCTCTCAGCCTCACAACATCATCACAGTGTATCTCTCATACTGATGACATCACAGCACCTTGTAACACCTTAGAAATTAAACAGACATGCAATCTTGCCTTTTAAAATGATCAGTTTTCAAAAGCCTATGTGATATTAAAACACTTAACAAACTTCAAATACACAATCCCTGCTAGTAAAAAAGCGTGGCATCTGCTGCTTTTGATTATATACATATATAGGGTTTATGAAAATGTCTTAATATTTTGTAACAAAATACTTTAGTGTCTTGTATTTTTAAAATACTGTAAAATACTTTGTAAGAAGTCTACATGATGGCATCATAAAAATAAGACCTCTGATTATTGCTCTCTCAGTTATTTGCCCATAGGCCTGAGATCAGAACAGAAAATTGACTAAGAATCTGGTCAATGCTTGGAGTATGGATGGAATTATACCACATGCATAAGAAAATAACAGACAAATTGCAACAAAAGTCAACAGTCATTGAAAATAGTATACAGCACAATGCCTAGATCAGTAATATATAATGGCAGTATAGTGTTCAATTTGGCATCAGCATCTTTGTTTAAGAAATAATATTGAATAAAATATCTGTCCTAAAGAACAGGATGTGGACCCTTCAGCACATAATCATTCTCAGCCTCAGTGCTGCAGGTGGAATGCAAAGGATGTTTAGAAATATAAAACACATAAAGATGGTGCACTGGAGCTCACTAAAGGGGCAAACTGAGACACTTCCAGTTAAAGAAGAACTGAAAACATTTTGGCAGAATGAGTCTACTGTACAAATAATAGTAGTTTTGAATGGATTGCCGATGTAATGCCAAGACTACAGTGGCGACTCCTGCAATACTTTATTGGCTGTTTCAAAGGCCAGTAGATGATCTGCAGATGCAGGGTACAGTTAACAAAGAGATGTCAAAAGTGGCACAATGCAGTATATAATAGTACTCCAGTCTATACAGACTGGTCAAAAACTCCAGACTCAAGTTACACGGCTGCAGCAGAATATATATGAA